TGTTTTATGTGGTCGAAAACTAGAAAAAATATTAAAATTATCTGTTATATAATCTGTAGCACCAGAATCAATCACTTATCTGTTTGAGGACTTGATAAGGTATTTTTTCTTTGATTTAACAAAAATAGAAAATTTATTTAAAGATTTCCGATACTAAGTGAATTTAGCATACTCATCAGCTGAAATCATAGCAATTCTCTCAAATGTTGAGTTAACAGTAGCGACAACAATATTAGCGGTCTGTGTCATTTGATGGAGGTTTTGCAATTTCTTACAATACTGTTTTATATGCCCTTATTCACGTCAATAATAACATATTATATTATCATCCATTTCAATCCAAGAACTGGCCACACTCTGAACTAGTCGGAGATCGCTGGTTGACTTTCTCTGGCGTCAGGAATGAGTTGTTTAACCCTCAGTTATCTGACCTCTAAAATTCTGATTCTAACTCTAACTCTGATACCATGTAAAAGATTAGGAATGAAGAAACATTGAATAATTTTTTATATGTTTATTAAAATGAAAGTTGCAATATATACACAAATAGATAGATTCATATATGGTAATCAACATAAATTATCCCAATTATTATTATTTTTTTAGTTATGCTACCTCTACTCTCTTCTCCACCTCTATTCAAGATAGAAATTAGAATATTGTCTTACACCGGTTTCATCATCTCTGTGCGGTCCACAACGAGGAAAATAAAACTGCTTTGTTCAAAATTACTGTGATCATCTCCTTGTTTTTTCTCTTGGCTTTTTTTGACTTGAATTTAGTGTTTCATAATAATTTTAGAAAATTAAAAAAAAAATAAAAAGTTTAATAATTTTAATTGGTCCAGCTTAATCCGCCATTAGGGATTTTAAGTATATTTAATCCCATCTCTAAAACTTTATTCAAGAGCCACCCCCTACTTTGAAGTTCCATGAAAATCTTAGAAGCTATAATTAGTTTTAGATTCAGTGAAGTTGTGGGTGGGACTGGGATTGGGATTATCTTTTTTTTTTTACTTTATTCTAATAAATAATAAATAATTACCATCTGTAGCAAGTTATGAGGGGTAAAAATGTAATTTCAAGCTTAATTTTAATATTTTTGTTGGGTTTCGTTTGAATTTAATTATCATTCATTAATTATTATTATTTTTTTAAAAAGACTTTGGATCTCGTAGCCCATCAATGGAAGAGCCGGCGAGGTATGCGCATTAGGATTTAGAAATTCCATAATTTATTATTTGAGATTTAATGCGCCCCTCCTTTTACTTGTATTTGAAATTTCGTTAATTATTATTTATTTTTATTTTTTGAAATGTTTAGACTCAAAGGAACTCAAGAAGAAGACTGATTGATGGGCGTAATTGAAAATTCAAAAATTAAAAATTTAAAAAAAAAAAAAAAAAAAAGTGAATGCTAAAATTTTTATTTCTTTCTTAAAATTTAAGAAAATTTACAATTTCTTTTTATAATTAAAAATTAAATTATTGGGTTTAAGGAATTTAGGAAAAAGGGTTATTGGATTATTAGTTGAGGATTAAGTAGTAATAATTACTTCCCAAAGACTAATAAGAAATAAGACCGCCTTCGGGTCAAGACCGGCATCAATTCACTTTTTGAGTTTTACAATTTCACTTTTGACTTTTTATTAAAAAAATTTATACTTGTAATTTTTAAAAGTTAATCTTAACAAATATACGTAGTTCATGTGTTTTTTTTTTTATTTTTAAAATCACATTTTTTACATATATTTTTAGTAAAATAAATTTTTTTTTTAAATTCCACCCGCTACAAATACATACTAATTAAGAATTAATATATAATTAAACTAGTAGCTAAATTATTTTAGATTAATAAAAAAATTTGATTTAAGATCTAACCTTTCTTGGATCCCATGTAGACTAAGATATTTTGTTAGTTTCTTCTGATAAGTTAGGCCACAATTTAATTTTTATACCCTCCTATATCGGAGTAATTGTTAGATTATTAATGCTTAATTATTATTCTTTTAATGGTTAAAATATATGTACATCAGAAAGAAATTAAAAGAAAATTAGTGAAATAAATTAGGACGTAACAATTATGTCCAATATTTTTAATATTTAAAATATTATAGAGAATATATATATATATATATATATACATAAAAAAAAAAAGAAAAATAGTGAAACAAAATTAGGAGATTTTAAGTAACAATTATCTCTACAAAATTATGTTTGAGAGTCAATTTTGATGCATAACCACAAGTATAAATTTACTTTAATTTTATGTTTTGCACTAAAAAAATACGAGTGGAGCAAATAGTGGAATATATATATGTATATATATGCGCGCAGGCGTATGCATGTATACATATTATATTTATACATATAGATAGAACGTGTAAAATGCTTTAAAAAGAAGAAATGAAAGCACGTCTTAAGGTTAAAGTTTTGTCCACTTAGCGTATTCAACTTGGGAACGGAAAAGAAAAATGAAATGGTATATAAATATATTTGTATATACTCGTGTGTACGCATATATATATATATATATATTATCTGGGTTGTTGACTATATAATGTAATACAGTAAGCTTAAGGGATATGGATATAATACGATGCATGTACAAACATCTACAATTAACGAATCTGACGTCCATCGTCTGTCTCCCTCCCTTCTCCACTCCTTTAGACTTTCACTCACCCTGTCCCTTATTCTTCAGTTTCTCTCAAATTTTATAGTTTCAACATAATTATACAACAAACATGCACAGATCAAATAGGAGGTTCTCAATAATTCTCAACCACACATTAAATTAAATCAGTTTATAATATATATTATAAAGAAAAAGAAGGCGTCTCCATAAACAAATTGAGCAGATTATTGAATAACCACCCACTGATAATGAAGGTTTAAGTCCTCGTATATTGTTCTACCAAACAAATACTTTTATATTGTACATAAATATATATATATATATATAAAGAGAAAATGAAAAGGAGCTGTAGCGAGAGGAATTATAATATAAAGAGAGGGTGGCACGGTGGGAATAATATTGAGTCAATCATGTCTTCCTTCTGGTTCCAGCAGCGATCTTCAAATCACATAACTACAGCTCTCATCATCTCCTCCTTGTTTCTCCTCGTTGGTCTCGTTGCTTTTCTCACCACCTGCTTCGATTCTGTAAGTTTCTCCTTTTCATCTTCTTCATCATCAAATCCTTCTCTCTCTCTCTCTCTCTCTCATCTTTCTCCATCTTTCCTATATATGTATATATGTATGTATGTATACACGTGAGTCCATCCTTTCTCTTTTCCTGCACAGTATGGTAGTGTTCGTATCAATTAACGTTCACTTTCAATTCAGCAAATCTTGATTCTTGATTTTCTTGAATTGTCTTTGGCCATAATTCTTTGGTTGACTTTGTGATCTTCAATCTTACTTTCTGCTTGGTTCAAATAATCTCTTTACGAGAATTTCATTAATCTATGATATTATTTGATCTTTCTGAGAACTTCATTAATCATGGTATTATTGACAAGTACTGGAACTAATTTATTAGAAGATGCGAACATTTTAATTTACCATTTTTTTTATCATATTTGTGTTAAGAATAAAATGAATACTACAAGTTATTCGAGATTGAAATGCAAATTATTTTAAATTAGAGAGACATACGAAAACAAAAATATCAATCTTTCATTTAATCAGAACGTAAATATTTAGTACAAACCATACATAGCTTGTTTATAAGCGGTTCTAACCGATCAAACAATTAATTTCAATTCGTTTCTCTTTTTTGTTAAAAAAAAAAAAATTAATTAAATATTTTAACAATTTTGTTATTATTATCTTTAATGCATATTATTTATGTCCTTTTTTGGTTATTATTTATTATCATTCACAATATATTATTCACTCATTAATAATCATTTGATAATTAACTTTAATGGGTGTTTTAACAAATTTTTTTTCTTCTCTTTTGGTTTTGATCCTAAAAAGGGCAAATTGGTGTAGTTTTGGGTAACGGCGCACTTAAATGAGTTAGACTTTGAAATTTGGTAATACGACACCGTTTTGTTCTTCTTGTCACTAATTTCAGTTTATAAATGTTGGCTTTATTAGCCTATATTTTCAGGTATTATTACGCCGACAAAACCAATCGTAGCCGCCAATGAACCACCTCCAATCCCAAAACAAGAATTCCCACTAAATTGCACAACATGGAACCAATCCTGTCCGGCTCACTACTATCCTACCAATTACACCTCGATCAATCTGGACCGACCATCAAACTCCACATGCCCGTCGTACTTCCAGTGGATCCACGAAGATCTACGGCCGTGGAAAGAGACCGGAATTACCAAAGACATGATTGATCGATCTCCCGCGGACTTCAAGTTAGTGATTGTAAACGGAAGAGCGTACCTTAAGAAATTTAGGTCTTCATTTCAGACCAGAGATATGTTCACCTGGTGGGGAATACTTCAACTTTTAAGATTTTATCCAGGAAGATTGCCAGATTTGGAGTTGATGTTCGGCTGCGGAGACCGCCCGCTTGTTCGAACTGGTGATTTTCAAGGACCCAATGCAACCACACCACCACCTTTGTTTAGTTACTGTAGAGATGACTACACGATGGATATACTCTTTCCAGATTGGACGTTTTGGGGATGGTAAGTGGTAATATTCTTCAATATTTTTTATAAAGTTTGAGTCTTCAAATTAGATAAGAGTAGAAATGATTTTGGTAAAATTTAACCCATTTAATGTAAAAATGACTATACGTTTCCGGATTGGTCTTTTTGGGGCTGGTAAGTTGTAATATTCTTCAATGTTTTTGATAAAGTTTGAAGTCTTTAAATGGATAGAGTAGAAATGAATTGGGTAAGATTTAGCCCACTTAATGTAGATTTAACAGGGTTGGATATAATGTTTGATAGGGCGGAGGTGAATATAAAGCCATGGACAAATATATTGAAGGACATAACTGAAGGTAGCAGGAAAATAGAGTGGAAGAACAGGCTACCTATGCTTACTGGAAAGGCAACCCAAACACAAATAGGAAAGATCTTATGAAATGCAATGTTGATAACAAAAATGACTGGGAGACACGTCTTTTCGTTCAGGTCATTTCTCTCTCTCTCTCTCTATATATATATATATATATATATATATGTATGTATGTATGTATTCACGTATTATATTTTACTGGCCTTAAGAGGGAATTGGATATACTTGTCACTGGAGGATGAGATTAGATTTTGGATGCTGATGTTTTACCTGTTTTTTGACTTTATTATCAGGATTGGAAAAAAGAAACTAGAGGAGGGTTTAAGCATTCTAGACTGGAAGATCAATGCACGTACAGGTGACTGTCTTACAACTATTTCTTCTTCTTCTTCTTCTTCTTCTTCTTCTTCTTCGTTTTCTTCTCTCTTTCTTTTATTTTAGGTATCCTAAGTATGTTGTTGTCTTTCTTGACAGATACAAAATATATATAGAAGGATGGGGATGGTCTGTCAGCGAGAAATACATACTAGCTTGTGACTCAATGAGTTTATTCGTAAAGTCTCATTTCTACGACTTCTACACCAGAGGGTTGATGCCATTGCAACATTATTGGCCCATTAGGGCCAGTAACAAGTGCCCTTCTCTCAAATTTGCTGTTGAATGGGGAAACAATCACACCCAACAGGTACCCAGAAAAAAAAATTCACTCTTTCAAAATTTTAAGCTTGTAAATCCCACAATAATGATCCCAAAATTGTTTCTAACTGCAGGCACAAGCCATTGGAAAAGCTGCTGTAAAATTCTTAGAGGAGGATTTGAAGATGGAATATGTGTATGATTACATGCTCCATCTGTTAACAGAGTACTCTAAGCTCCTGAAATTCAAACCCAGTGTACCAGAAGACGCAGTGGAGTTATGTGCGGAGAGCATGGCATGCCCTGCAAATGGTCCATGGAGGACGTTCATGGAGGAGTCGATGGTGGTGTCCCCGAGCGAGATGGGTCCTTGCACCATGATGCCACCTATGGGACCTGAAGCTTTACAAGAAATTATGAAGATGAAGGCTAGTATCACTCGAGAAGTAGAGTTGTGGGAGGATGAATATTGGCATCATAGATAGATTTGAAATTTTACTCTCAATTAATATTGTAAATTTAGGGTCTAGCCCGATATAGTATGAAATTCATAGTCAAGACTTGGTGTTAAACGACACCGTTTGGAACTTACAATTATACAGTAAAATTGATTACCCAATGCTTTTGGGACTCATGAGCTTGTGATCAATTATTAATTATTATTGAAAAGGAAAATAATGGACAGTAGCGCATTAGTTGTAAATTGTAATGGGAAAATAGTGATTAAAACAAATTTATCATATCAAAATCCGGAATTGAATTAAAGTTAAATGACAGATGAGATAAGATCATACGCCTAAATTAAGGCAACTTTTACAGATCGGAATGATCTCACTCCCAATCTATTTTTTCTTTCAAACTTCCTAATTTTTGTTGGAAATAAAATTGAGAGTTTTCTTTTGCGAAAACGGTATATGTGTGTGTAGATATATAGGAAGAAAATTTTAAAATGCAAAGGGGTTTACAGGGGTATATATATATATATATAAAGACATGGGAGATATATTGTATTGATCTGATGAAATAGGGTTTAGATCTGTGGGAGGTCAAGTGGAAAGTTGTGGGTGTGGTTTAGTGATGATCAAGACATGGGCTTCAACAACTGTTGTCTTGTGCTTCTGCATCCTCCTCCTCACTGGTGCCTTCATTTGCTGGATTGACCTTGTACGTCTCTCTCCCTCTCTTTCTCTCTCTCACACACACATATATGTATGTAATTATATGTATTTAGTACTTTGAAGAACATTAAAAATGTGATTTAAAAAATATATGAAAGGATCCTGAAAATGATAATGTTGTAATCAGATTCTTGAAGTGTATATATTATGGGTTGAACATATATATATATATATGTGCATATACATACATTTTAATCCATGTAATTGTCAGTCTGTCATTGTAGGTTCACCAATCCATGACAAAATATTCAGCAGCTGGAGTTCCCCGAAAATCCCCAAGAAAATCCAGGTCCCACTCAACTGCACCACCGGAAACTTGACGGAAACATGCCCGGTAAATTACTCCACCACATTCCAACCTTACGACTCATCTCCCACCTCCTGCCCCGATTACTTCCGGTGGATACACGAGGATCTCCGGCCATGGAAGTCCACAGGAATCAGCAGAGACGCGCTAGAAAGAGCCAAGGCCCATGCACATTTCCGGTTAATCATTATCGGCGGCAAGGCGTACGTAGAGCACTACAGCAAGCCTTATCAAACAAGAGATGTGTTTACAGTTTGGGGCATTTTGCAGCTTCTCCGATTCTACCCCGGCAAGGTTCCGGACCTCGAGCTCATGTTCTGGTGCGAAGACAAACCGGTGATCTTCAAAAATAACCACCAAGGACCCAACGCCACGTTGCCGCCGGTGTTTCATTACTGCGGCCATGACGATGCACTGGACATTGTTTTCCCTGACTGGACCTTCTGGGGTTGGTAAATGCCACATTGCTGTTGAAATTTTATTTGATTCGCGTATAGTTATGCTTGATTTGAGAAATACCCTTTGATTAATTTGGGGTTTTTTCAATTGGGTTGTCCTTAATTTCATGAATTGGGTATTTTTTTGGGAAAGGGCTGAGACGAATATAAGGCCATGGACAAGTATGTTGGAAGGTATAAGAAAAGGCAGCAAGAGAATGAATTGGACAGAGAGGGAACCCTACGCTTTCTGGAGAGGGAACCCAGGAGTGGCTCCTTCTAGGGAAGACCTAATGAAATGCAATGCTTCTGATAAGCACGATTGGGGAGTTCGTCTATATATTCAGGTACATATATATATACATATATATATATATATATATTACATGTACAAATCTCTTCTGGCTCTGTTCCTTCATATATGGTCTCTAATTTTAAAGAACAGTAACTCCTTTCTGCTTAATGCAGGCTTTCTAACCATATTTAAGTTCTAAAACTTAAATGATAAAAGTTGATGTATACATAAAGACATATATAAATGTATGATAACACTATATATATACATACATGTTCAGGATTGGGCTAAAGAAACTGAAGAAGGGTACAAGAATTCTAACTTAGAAGATCAATGCACCCACAGGTATACTTTATAGTTACAATGATTAGGTCTCGTGTCCTTCTTTTCTTGTAAATTTCAATGTTTTTAATCTTATATAAATTCCCTATGTCACATGATGAATTAGGTATAAAATTTACATTGAAGGAGCTGCATGGTCAGTGAGTGAGAAGTATATACTAGCATGTGATAGCATGACATTACTGATTAAGCCAGACTACTATGATTTCTTCATGAGAAGCATGATGCCAATGCAGCACTATTGGCCCATTAGACCCACTAATAAGTGCTATGATCTCAAGTTTGCTGTTGAGTGGGGCAATAATCACATTGATAAGGTACTTGAACAATTGAATATTAAGATTTTGTTAAAATGAAATCTAACCTAAAAGATGTGTTAAAACATTAATGATTAGTTAATTGATTAACAGGCACAAAAGATAGGGAAAGCGGGAAGCAAATACATTGAGAAGAACCTGAAAATGAGAGATGTGTATGATTACATGTTTCATTTACTTAATGAATATGCAAAGCTGTTGAAGTTGAAGCCAAGAATACCTGTAGGAGCGAAGGAGGTTTGTTCGGAAACAATGGCTTGTGCGAAAGAGGGTATAGAGAAGGAATATATGATGGAATCAATGGTGATGTCTCCTAGTGATAGAGTTCCATGCTCTCTGCCTCCTCCTTATGATTCTCATGATTTAAAAGCTTTTCTTGAGAAGCAGGAAAGAATGAGAAGAAAAGTTGAGATGCGAGATGATCAACCGAAAAGATCTTGAGTACAAAATCAAATAAAGCAATCTGTTTGTTGTATTGATATTTTTTGAAATTACTGTTTTTTTTCTTTTTGCAATCCCAGCTTGCTAGATCGAGTTATTAATGTTAAATTCTAAAACTACATCAAATTAGGTATGTAGAAATAGCTAGAAAAAATTCACATATATATAGTTAAGTCTTCTGTTAACTTAGAGAATGGTAATAAAAATTTTTCATGATACATGTTAGAAATAGCAAGAGACTAGGTTTATGGCCAAAAAGAAATTATACATGTTAGAAATAGCAAGAGACTAGGTTTATGGCCAAAAAGAAATTATAAATTTTGTAATTCTTTTTTTAAAAAAAAAATCGGCATCATTTAATCATGATGAATAAAAATTTTACTAAAAAATGATAAAAATGAATATGTCATTGTATCTCACTTCGATTATTTCAATTTTAAAATTTTTATTTATCATTTTATCTTACATTACTGAAGAAAATAAGAAATGAAATTAAAATGAATGTATAAAAAATCAGATAATCTATAATGAAAGCATGATTACAAATTCAAGTTTAGTTTGACTATAAGATAATCATCGCAGTTCAATATGAAATAACAAAGAAATAATTCATGAAAAATTTAAAGTTAATTGGAAAAATGTATCTATTATTCAATCCGTTCTAATAAAATTTGATTAAATTTATTGTTTTGATTTTATATTTTAATATAATGTATTACTTCTCAAATTTGAACTAAGTATTATTTTATATATAAATGTCATATTACATCTATACTCATGATATGATTATCCTTTGGAATTGAAATTTGAATAGAATTATAACAAGACAATCTCCGATATGCTTGAACAAAAATTAATCTAGAATTAAAGAAATTAACTGTTACAATATTCAATATTCGAAGAATAAATTCAAGAATTAAAAAATAATCCACACAAAATTAAGTAAGAAAAGCCAGAAAATATGAAATGAACTAAGCAATAGTTAATATATATATATATATATAGAGAGAGAGAGAGAGCTAGCTAGCTAGGCCAGGAATGGTTGAAGCTGACTTTTGAAGATCATAACTTATAGAGCTCGTCCCTTGACAATGTCCAAACTCATCTCGCTAGGATCTGTCGCTTGCAATTCCACCTGAACCCCATCCAACTCTCTCTTGAATCTGTCCTTGGAGCTCGCATAAAGCATCTTACTCCTCACCCTTGATGTATCAGGTGACCTATACATACACACACCCACAAACAAGCTAACCCACATTCTCCATATACATACATACATACACACATACATACATATATTTTTGCAGATATTATAATTTGCTTAACTGGGTCTTGAGTACTTTGTAGGAATTTTAGGGTTGACTCCTTTATACGATTAAAATGATTGATACTCAAATATAATTGGGATATATGAATATGTCATGATTTTCAAGGTCTCTTCCAAATTTACTAATATCAGTTTCCATAATATCTGATAATCAGTCGCAATATGTAATGTAGAAATTCGAGAAGGTTACCAGGCAATGAAGAAAATCTTGCTTTTCTGGACATTTTCATTGGTAGTGAAATCGAAATCGTAGACAGCATATCGACACTCGTTGGCTGGCAATGAGTTGGTGAAATCATCATAGGAATCTCCAGGATTTCCCAGCTTCTCTACCATCACCTGCTGGATCTTCTCATCAATTTTGAACACAATGAACCTGTGATTCCTCTTGGCTTTTAGCTCTAAAAACTTTAGCTTGCACTCATCGCTCACATGCATTCCTGATGCCGAATTTGCCTGCACATTAATCATACCACCTTCCCATTTTATTTCTCATTTCATTAATCATCCCCGTATATACCTACGTATATGAACATGTAAATAACGGTAATGACATGAACAAACCATTGTAATCGACGTCGTCCGATAAGAGTTTCTGCAAGAAGAAGAAGAAGAAGAAGAGCATACAAGAGTATGCGATAGAGAGAAAGAAAGAAAGAATGGGAAATGATATTGCGATGATGAAGTGGTTGGGTTTTGTTTGGTGGGGAAGAAAGGAAAAGAAAATGTAATATTAGGGGAGGAGAGAGATTTTCGTTGAGAGAAAATTTGAAGGATTTGGCTGATCTGATCACGTCCACACTTTCATCTTCCCACGTTCTACCCAACATCCCTTATTATTTATTAAATTAAAAAAAGTATTATTTTTATATCAAGTAATTATATATTTTCCTATTTAACCTCATTGATCTTCCTTATATTTCGCTGATTAGTTTACTAATTAGTAATTCTTCCCGATTAAATTAATTAATATTGGCTATATTTTTATTCTAAATTTTATTCATAACTAATTAAGATGAATTTTTGCAAATTATTGGTTAATCAAGGACTAAAATGTAATTTCATTCTTTTTGTTAATGCAATATGACCTAAAAATATATCATACAAGTTACAATATCTTCCAATTAAATATTTAAACCCAATGCTTATACCATTTCTTTTTTCAAAGTCAACCAATGCGGACTGACTGAAATTTATATTTATATTTTTATTTATATGTACATTTTTTTGACATTGACTGAAAACTTATTATATTCGACCGATCGAATATTATTTATGCTAGTCTTTGGTCACTAACTAATGGAAATTTAGTAGTGACCAAATTTTTTTGTCATTAAAGAATGACCTTAATTAATAAGAAAATTAGAAATATTTTGTTAATTTCTTAATTAATAAAAAAAAAATTTAAATGAATAATCTTAATTTCAAGAATTAAAAAAGAAAATGTTGTAATCGAAGTTTACTAGCACGTCGGTTATGCGGGGCCCACTTTCATACCTGCGAGGCACGTGCTCAATTAGATGGAGCCCACAGGAAGTTCCAGACTTGATATTTTCATCACCCAACAATTTTATATTATTATTATTTTTTTTTTCTAACGAAATAATTATTTATTGTGAAATTATTTGGGTGACACCAAACCCTAAAAATATTCCCAAGGTGGTATATTTGTACGTATGCAGAACGTGACAAGCCCAGGTCAATAATTTTTATAATTATTTAAATATAAAAAATTGAATGCAGCTCATTATCTCACTCGCACATTCACTTGAACCCGCGCACGCGCCTGCCTATTGGACCTCAAGTAACGAAACGCAGCGCTGCAGGCGTTTACTGTTGTGGCTGCTTGGTTTGCTAATTAAAAATGTCAGTTAATATCTTATTAATTAAACATAACGGCAACTTGGGTATCTGATGACGTAACTCTTAAGTTATCTTTCTATTATGTTTTATTAAATAAATTATATCGAGAATTGACTTTGACTCGTGTTAATAGTAATTAGGATTTAAATTAAGACCTGATAATTTTTTGTTTTAATTTTTTATACCTGTTAATTAAATAATGCATGATATGATCAGCGTGTGTTACTAAATAAGAGTTCAAATCTTAACTTGAGACATTAAAAATTGTAGAAACAATTTAAGAAATTTAAAAAATTATATTTTAATAAGTTTATATATTTATTAATTAAATAGTATATAAACATTAATATTTTAAATTCACAAAACTTTATAAGAAAATATATCTATAAATAATTTAATTAAATAGTAATTAGTAAATTAACACAAAATAATCACGAATATAAAATGGTGCTAAAGATACATATGGAGGCAAAGAAGCGGAAATAAACCACAGCCGTACACGTGTTTAGAAGGAAGAGCGAGTAACGACATAACAGAAACTCGCGAGTGGCAAAACTGAACAAGTTAATAAGTAAATAAAAAAAAAAGGTTCAAATTTGTATTATCATCGTCCCTGCAGAGAAAAATACGAACAGAAACAGGTTAGAAAAGAAGAGTGGACTCTCTCCATATTTGTATATACTTTCTTCTTCCTGTCAACGTTACCATTTTACTCGCTTTTGATTTTCGAAGGACTCCATCGCTCTCTTCCTCTTTATATCTTTCTCTGAATTTTTGAAGAAACTAAATTGGGTTTTAAATTCTCTGTTGATCTTCCGATTATAACCAAAGCTCTGTATCATTAACTTTTTCTCTCCAGCGACTCGGTTGAACCTGTCAAAAAAAGCTCAAACCCAGGTTAGTTCTTTACTTTTCTTTTCCTTTTTTTTTTTTTTTTTCTAATAACGTTTTCCATTTATGGGTTGTTTCTTTGATGAGAATCTCTGTTGTTGGTTATAATATCTTTTACTGTTTATCTCTGTGACTGTGTGATGCTTTTTGAGCAACTGATTCTCTTAACCTTTTCGTGTTTGTTTGGGAATCGAGATTTTGTTTTTTGAGATTGAAAAAGGAGATTTTATCATATTTACGGCTTCTCTGATTCTGGGTTTCATGATCGGGCTAAAAGGTCGACTCTTTTTCCTTTTGCCAAGGTAGTCGACGTCTCAGGTCCAAATTTTTCTCCAGAAAAAACAGCTTCCCCAGAAGATCAGCTATGATAAAAACAAGTTAATTGGGATTTGATTAAGTATTTTTGTGGGGAATATTTATCCTCCTCCTGTGAATTTGGAAGTAGGAATACATGATTTTTGTTTGGTAGATTCTTGTAAATTTGTTTTGTATTTGATTGTTTCCCAAGAAAGTGAAAAAGTCTTATGTCTGAAAGATTCAGATATTCTAGTCGTCTCTTTTGTTTATTGAGAATTGGCAAAAAGAAATGTTGTTATTGATACTCTTTGGAATCTAAAAGCTGGAGGCATACTCTTTCTCTTTTTTTGTCTCTCTTTTGATTTTTCTTTTTAATCCATAAATTCCGGTGAGAAGGAAAAGTATCTTAGCTTTCTTATGCTTGGTACTTCCCTCTTTTTTCTTTTTCTTTTTTTTTATCCCCTTACTTGGTATTCAATTGAAGGCTTTATTCTACTTTTTGATCTTACAAAAAGAAAAAAAAAAATCAAAACATATGAATCTTTATGTTTGACTGCTGTGAAAACCGAAATCCATGGAAGGATGACACGTTTTATGGAATTTTAATTAAGTTATTACATAGAAAAAAGAAAAAAAAATCCATTTAAGTTATGCATAGCATATGTATATTCAAAAGTTAGGATTTGAGATTTGATATCCTCTAGAAAAGTTTCCTTTGTTGGTACCATATCTATCCTGTGTTTGTTTCTGAATTCTTGAGAGAGCTTATCCAGTCGTGAAGAAATCAAAGTACTGTTCAAAACTCTGCTGAGATTCAACTTATATAAATGCTCAGAAAGAATTCTACTTAATTGAAATCCAGTACTTTAAGCATAAGATGGTTCTTCTTTTTTCTGGCTATGTTCATTTCTTAGGTTCTACTTAATTGTCTTGTCTCATTGTTGAATCATTTGTTCATTTCTTAGGTTCTTATTGTCCTCTCAGTTCCTGCAAGAAGCTATTTATCTTCCCTCCAGTTGTCCTGGGTTGATTCACTAACAAGTTCCATGAACAATCTCAAGCTTGGGGTTGAGGTTGTGAGTGCTCATGACCTTATGCCTAAAGATGGTCAGGGCTCGTGCAGTGCTTTCGTGGAGCTTCATTTTGATCATCAGAGATTCCGCACCACTACGAAAGACAAAGATCTCAATCCTGTTTGGAACGAAAGTTTTTACTTCAATGTATCCGATCCAAACAACTTATACAACCTTACTCTTGAAGCCTTTGTCTACAACCATAATAAAGCAACCAATACTAAATCCTGTCTTGGAAAGATTTGCTTGTCGGGAACATCGTTTGTACCACATTCTGATGCTGTTGTTTTACACTATCCGTTGGAGAAGAAATCCATTTTCTCTCGCGTGAAAGGAGAGCTTGGTCTGAAAGTGTTTGTTACTGATGATCCTTCCATAAAATCATCAAACCCACTTCCTGCAATGGAATCCCCAGTGCAGGTAGATTCTGGATCAAATCAGTCTCAAGTTCAGGAACAAATTTCCGAAGCTGTTTCAAATATATTCTCCCCTGGAAAGCATGAGAAAAGACGAACATTTCATCATCTTCCAAACACAAATAACTCACAACAGTCACAAAGTTATCCGACACCAGCAGCTCCACAGCCACAAGCAGTGAACCACCAGGTGAAAGAGCAGAAGTCTCAATTGCAGACTCCAGCATTTGTTCAAACATTCCCTGGACCATCATCGTATGTAGCTGATTATAGTCTTAAAGAAACAAGCCCTTTTCTTGGAGGGGGCCAAATTGTTGGAGGGAGAGTAATACGCAGGGATAGGCCAGCGAGTAGTACCTATGATCTTGTTGAACAGATGCCTTATCTTTTTGTACGCGTTGTAAAAGCCCGTGATCTTCCTTCGATGGATGTAACAGGGAGCCTTGATCCATATGTTGAAGTAAAACTTGGGAACTACAAAGGAGTTACGACGCACTATGAGAAGAAGCAAAATCCTGAATGGAATGAGGTGTTTGCCTTTGCTAGGGACAGGATCCAATCTTCTGTACTGGAAGTTTCTGTCAAAGATAAGGATCTGGTGAAAGATGATTTCGTTGGGATTGTGCGGTTTGATCTGAATGAGATTCCAAGTCGTGTTCCACCGGATAGTCCTTTGGCTCCAGAATGGTATCGACTGGAAGATAAGAAAGGGGAGAAAAAGAAAGGAGAAGTGATGCTTGCTGTCTGGCTTGGCACTCAAGCTGATGAAGCTTTTACTGATGCTTGGCATTCAGATGCTATTACTCCAACAGATGGTTCTAAAACTACATCCACTAATATTCGATCAAAAGTTTATCATTCTCCAAGATTGTGGTACGTTCGTGTTAATGTGGTTGAAGCACAAGACTTGATTATTGGTGACAAGAGTCGATTTCCAGAAGCATATGTGAAGGTTCAGATTGGCAATCAGATACAACAGACAAGGTTGGTTAATGCTCGAACTCATAACGTAGTATGGAATGAAGAGTTTATGTTTGTTGCTGCTGAACCCTTTGAAGATCATCTGATACTATCAATCGAAGATCGTGTAGGTCCCAACAAAGACGAGACTATTGGGAAAGTCTGCGTACCATTAGCTTCTGTTGAGAGGCGTGCTGATGATAGAATCACACGTAGCAGATGGTTCAATATTGAAAACTCCATTTCAGCTTCCATGGATGTGGATCAGGCCAAGAAAGACAAGTTTTCTAGCAGACTCCATCTCCGTGTCTGTCTTGATGGAGGTTACCATGTACTTGATGAATCAACTTACTACAGCAGTGATCTCCGGCCAACAGCCAAGCAACTCTGGAAGCCATCAATTGGCGTCTTGGAGCTTGGAATTCTAAAGGCTGATGGACTTCATCCAATGAAGACAAGAGATGGTAAAGGGACATCAGACACTTACTGTGTAGCCAAGTATGGTCATAAATGGGTCAGAACTCGCACAATTATTGACAATCTCAGTCCAAAATACAATGAGCAATACACATGGGAGGTATATGATCCAGCTACAGTTCTCACAGTGGGAGTTTTTGATAACTGCCAAATTGATGGTTCAAGTGGTAGTAAAGATATGAAAATTGGGAAGGTCCGGATCCGTCTCTCCACCTTAGAGACTGGGCGTGTTTATACACATTCCTACCCACTGCTCGTTCTTCACCCTTCTGGTGTCAAGAAGATGGGTGAACTACATTTGGCAATTAGATTTTCATATGCATCAATGACGAACTTAGTTTTTCTATATTCGCGTCCACTTTTGCCAAAAATGCACTATATTAGGCCACTGTCTGTGTTGCAGCAGGACATTCTGCGCCAACAGGCTGTTAACGTTGTTGCAGCTCGTCTTAGTAGAGCAGAACCTCCTCTTAGAAAGGAAGTTGTTGAGTACATGACTGATGCCCATTCTCATCTTTGGAGCATGAGGCGCAGCAAAGCAAACTTCTTTAGGCTGATGTCGGTCTTCTCAGGATTATTTTCTGTTGGAAAATGGTTTGGCGAAGTTTGCAGGTGGAGAAACCCGATCACAACAGGCCTAGTGCACATCCTCTTTGTGATGCTTGTGTGCTTCCCTGAACTGATTCTGCCTACTGTCTTCCTCTATATGTTTGCAATAGGAATTTGGAATTATCGATATCGCCCAAGATACCCTCCTTACATGAATACAAGAATCTCTTGTGCGGATACCTTGCACCCTGATGAGCTCGATGAGGAGTTTGATACATTTCCAACAACACGAAGCCCGGAATTAGTTCGAATGAGGTATGACAGGTTAAGGAGTGTGGCTGGGAGGATGCAAACTGTGGTGGGTGACATAGCTACTCAAGGAGAGCGTATTCAATCACTACTAAGCTGGAGGGATCCTCGTGCCACCGCTATCTTCATTACATTTTGTTTAATGGCTGCCATTGTACTGTATGTGACACCATTCCAGGTGCTTGCTCTTTCTGCTGGGTTATACTTCATGAGACATCCGAAGTTCCGTCAAAGAACACCTTCAGCACCACTTAATTTCTTCCGTAGCTGCCAGCTTTGACAGACAGCATGCTGTGAATTTGTTTCCGTGATCTCGTGGGAAAGTAGACGTTCATCTGCCATCTCTAAAAGGGTTCTGATTTTACTTGTCCATGTTTCTTCCGTAAAGCTTCATTGTTTTGCTGTACCCTCAGTCTGCTGTATCTTGGTCATGAATTTTAGTTTATTGCAAGACGTGTGCAAATATGAGCAAAACCAATTTATAGTAAAATTTGGATCTGTCTTAATACATGCTTTGGCCTTCCTTGCAAGGGGATCATAAGGAGAGATTGTGGAGGAAGTGGAGGTTGGAGTAAAAGCACTAAGCAGTAATCATAAATTTTCCAGGAGAAATTTTCATGGTCTTTCCCGCGTTAAAAATTTTCTAGGAGAAAGCACAAACTTTTGATATATATCTATATATATATATATATATATGTATTACGAGGGTAGTGGAGATTACTCGTACATCTATATATTACATACATGTAATGTTAATAATTTTAACATTAGAACTTTAAAAGACCAGAACTTTTTACACCAGATAATCCATTAATGGCGCAGTTTTTTTCTTTTTTTTGGGTCCTAACTTCTAAAAGTTATTGCCCTTGCCACAGTTTGCAAGAGCCATCTTCAGAAATCCCGGGGTCACATTTCATTTTTCTTACAATCTGGATAAGCAGCAACTAAATACCATTCAATTATCCCCTGCAAAAATTTCCCTTTTAAACCAAGATAATAACCTTCCTTCTTAACAGAACAAGTGAGTGAGATTTACCCACTCATGGCTGCCAAAAAGAAGAACAAGGTACAACAGCTTAAAAGATTCAACTACATCCAACCGATGTTGTGTCAATCGAAATCATCAACTCTAAAAACACTGAACTAAATCGTTGTCAAGCTAAAAATATGAGTACAATCCCATCATTTGTCATGGGTAAATGAAGTGAGAAAGCCAAAATCAGATGGTCTCTACTCTGTCCTTGAAAATTAGTCTCCAGAAGCCTTGGTTACAGAAAGATATATACACCAACAGCGGAAATCATCCCCGCATTAAATCAATATCGACATGGGTGTTACACATATCCATTGGCCGAGAACCTGTCCACATACCACCAACAGAGGTGGGAATGAGATTTTGACTTGATTGGACACTGGCTGGAGTCACAGGGTTGTTGTCAACTGTCTGATGGTCTACATCTCTCATACCTTCTGAACCTTCACTTTTCTTGTTCTTCATCTTTGAGCCACCCCATAAAAAACTTCCCACTATTACCTGGTATAATTGATCATTTCATGAGGCTTGCAAGAAGTTTATGAATCTACAACAAAGCTTTACACCCATGTTTCAGGATTACCTTTACCCAAAGCAGATATATATTTACGAGCCAACTATATTTGCTAGTTTGTGTCTGCTTTTTCATATAAATGCCCATTGTAATAGTATAAAATGCATACAAGTAGGGCATGAAAACAGGATTAGCAGATAATTCACCAAAATTCCCAACAAGGATTACCTTTACCCAAAGCAGATATATATTTATGAGCCAACTATATTCGCTAGTTTGTGTCTGCTTTTTCATATATATGTCCATTGTAATAGTATAAAATGCATACAAGTAGGGCATGAAAACAGGATTAGCAGATAATTCGCCAAAATTCCCAACAGTTACCCCGGCTGTTTCCATAGTAACGTACCATTCATGGGTCCAGGACTAACAAGATTCACGTAGTAACCTAGATATTTAACTTATAATGATAGAAGAAGAGAAGAGTTAAAAAATCAGAACACTGTTATATGGAGGTCAAAGCATTAAGAAGTCACCTGAACAGGGCTTGCTGCAATAAGCACTCCTCCAACTCCTCCACCAATTACACGGCCATCAGGACTAGCAAGGGATACACTCAGACCACCTGTTCGATTTCGGGAGTCGCTGGTGACCAGGTAAGAGCCTGACAGACATAGTATCTCGAAACGACCCTGAAGATCAAAATATCTAATAAAATATGAGAAAGGTAGAAGTTTCCCCAGAGTTGGTAGATATGGGGGATGCATCACAATTAAAGAAACACCTCAATGGTTTTAAAGTGGTTGGTAGCATAATAAACATAAGCAAACATAATTTGTCACTTTAAAGCAAGTCTCCCAAGAAAGAGGATGAACCAGAAAAACACACACACCCCATATAGAAGGCTGACAAAGAACACAGCAAGTGTTTCAAGAATTTATATGAGGGCTATCAGAAACCGTCAGCAAGTTCAAAAAATTTTTGCTTTCTGAAGTATTATATCATCCAATCAAGAATAAGCCCTCTGTACACGTGTGTTTGGCAATGTACAACAACATTAAGAGAAAAACAAAAGTATTAAGGGTTCGTACCTCATACGTGACAGTGCCCCCAGAAGATGATGGCTGTCGAAGAGTGACAGTAGAAACAGCACCATTGGCAGACAATACGCATATTGCTCTTGGCCCTTGCTGTGAAAAAGCCATAATTTTTGTGGCAATGTCCTACATAGTAATAGCACTTTTAGAAAGAAAACAAATTTCTTTTCAGACCAGAGAACCTATCAAGGGGAATGCCACGACCCATGATATTATGGAACAAGAATTGAACTTCATATATAGAAAACAAACCAAGAGCAGGGAGACAATAAAAATCATTTATGAAAATATTCGGATGCTCCACTATTATGTAGATAAGCATTTAATCAAAGGACTAGAAAATAATTCAAGTCCATTAGAAGGTTCTATCCAAATTAAATGCGTATAAGGACCATTTTCTGCGAGTCAAACCTCATTGTTTTGTTTCTAGTTATATATCGCACTAGTCCTGTTTATATCGGTGTTATTGTTCCTTTTTTATGTAGATAAGCATAAAATCAAAGGGCCACAAGATAAACAAGCCTGCAAGAACGTTCTATCCAAATTAAAAAGGAGCATGGATCAGTCACTGTAAGTGAAATATCATTACTTTTGTTTCTATTTATATGTTGCATCAGCCCTGCTATATCCATGTTATCATGTTTGCTTTCGCCATGCAGCAAATCTTGGCAGCTTTCATTAAATTAAGAAAAAAAGGAAGACGCCAAGGAAACAAACACATAGGAGACAAACGGCAGCTCTCTGCCAAACAAAACATATCTTTGATGCATGACCCTTCCACAAAACAGAACTACAATTTCATTGCATACTTGATTAATAGGATAGATAACAAAACAAAGACTAATAAGAAAGAAAATAGCATACTTCTCCTGTTGCAATGGTAATGATATGTGGAGTAAAACCCATCCCAGCAGAACCAGAGAGCCATTCACCTAGCAAAACAGTTGAATTCAAAACATCATTCACCCAGCAGAAACTAGAATGGAAGCAAACAAACAGATAAAAGATAAATGGCCAACAACTTCAATCCGTTACAAAACCTCAAACAGGTTTTAATTAATTCGTAACTGTGCTTATCACAGGGTCTAGAAAATCCAGATAAGAAAATTTGTGAAACCTCAAACCACTAGCTTATGGAACAAGAGAATTTTTTAAAATAATTATAAAACAAGAGAATAAATACACCAAAAGATAGAAAAAAACAATTTTGAACTCATTAGGAATTGGATTAGATCATCTGCTTGGATATCTACTTCAGTGTCATGTATCATAAAACTAGTTCTGGTCTAATTATTATACCAAAAACATAAAATTTTTCTCCTAGTATCAGCAATAAATTAAAGGTTTTATGCTGTCAAAGAAGTGCCACATACAAATGCTCTGTCCTCTTTCTTTTCAGACATGCTCACCCTTCACTGGTGAAAACCAAAATCTAACCATCAATTTTCTCATTAATTTAAAGCTCCAGTTAGATACATTTCAAATATTTCTGGACTAAAAGCACATCCAATTACCAAATATTCTTTTTAGGTTTGCTGGTTAACAATATAAATATTAAAAAAGAGTCCAATTCTGATAGCAAATATTAAATTGTTAAATTTCCTCAAGCTATTAGCATACTGCAGACAGACATATTCTGGATTACCCAAAAAATTCTTATGAGCTATCTTAGCTATCCAACAGAAACTGGAAAAATGATGATTTGCCAGCACCAAGGGGCCTTGCTCATCACAATAGTTATCTTTTGTTGCAACTCAATCTTTTAACACATCCAATCAGGAGGCAAAAAGGGAACGAATATTGCCCAAGAAATCTTACCAAGCGAAGCTAATTGCTGCTTCTTTCCAGTACCCAATGGCCTGCCTCTGCCACGCTTCTGCGATGGGGTTATGGTACCAGGATGAGTAGATGTCGAGGGAGACAATGCCAACGAAACAGTCCCATCAGGTCCATATTTCCGGGGCCTTCCCCTTTTCCTTTTCACAGGCTCTCCGAGTGGCATCCCCGGAGGTGCACCCATATTGACACCATGAGGCAACATTGTGGATGGAGGTTCTACTGGTAAAGTTGACCCCATACTAGTCCCTCCCATATTAGATTGAAACTGTACATTTTGGCTAGATAAAGGATGAATGCCAGGAGATCCATGTAATGCAGACTGTGAACCAGACCCAGACCCAGTTATCCCTCTCTGCATATAGTAAGAAGCCGACCCAGGTAAAGACATTGCATCTCTACGATCCATGCATTTACTTTGAATAACCTGGACTTAGAATCTCTCTTCCAATCAACCTTAGACCTAATTTTTTTCAATTTGCCAGAAAAATACAGATCCTTCCTATTTCCTCTAAACTTCAAAGGTCAATGTAACTTCACAAAGGGTATGAACCCAGAGCAGACCGGATTTTCTACAAGTTGTTGAAAATTCTGGTATCACCATTAAACAAACAGTGGAAAAGCATTAGATTCGTTTCATCATCTAAAACCAAAGCAAAAAGATGTGCTTCAGTTCAAACTTAACAAAAGAAGAACAGAGGCAACAAAAATTATTAACACTTGCACATCTCTCTAGGAGAAGAAAAGGAGAGAGAAAAAAACCAAAACCCTAGATCCAAAGCAACTTAAAACTAGTAAAGCAGAAGACTAAAGAGATAAGAAGAAGATAGAAAAGGAGATTTTTATGAAAAGCAAAACTGAAGAATCTAAAGCGGTAAACCCAAGAAAAAAAAAAAAAAAGAAAGAGTGAAAAGCAGTTTAAAATCTCGAAAGCAAAGAACTTAAAAGAAAAGACAAAAACGCAAGCTAATTTTACAGCTTACCAAACTGCAAAAAACAAGGAAAAAAAAGAAAGAAAGCTTCATATTGAAGATAATGAACAGTTTCACTGTAAAACAGGTCCACACTCTCACCAACCCATTATATACCTTTAACAGCAAGCATCTTCCCAACCCTAACACCCACAAAAAGATCACCAACAGAAATCAAACCAAAATAAGGAAAAAAACACAGAGTCGAAGCCAATGCCATTAGATAAACAAAAAAAAAAAAAACCAGTTGAAGAACAACACAAGGAAACCTGAAGAGTAAAAGGTAAAAGAAACCAGAAGAATTAACAAGTTGAAAAGTTCTAGAAAGGAGAGAAACAGAGAGAGACAAGACTCACATTGGGTAAGCAAAGATTAAACCTGGAACAGTTTTTTTTTTTTTTTTTGGAAGAGAATTCAGGAATGACCTAGTGCAGATGGGTAAGCTTTCTTTTTTTTTTTTTTTCTTTTTTTTTTTCCTTCTTCTTGTTTTATGCACAGAAGTTCTTATCGCAACGCATTTTTCTAGGGTACAGCTTTCTTCAGCTCATGAAAAAGCTGCTTATCTTTCTCCCTTTCTTTTCTTCTCTGTGCGTGTGAAGGAGGGTGAGAGTGAGTGGTTTACTGGGTTCCACCAAAAAAAAAAAAAAAAATTTGAGGAAAAGCAAACAAAATATCGGAACAGAAAAAAGCGCTTATTCTTGGATAATGCTCGGCTATTGGATTTTTATTTATTTATTTTTTTTTAATTTTCAGTTTAAATTTTTAAATATCAAAAACAAATTAAATACGTCTCAGTCTGTCGTCTATCAAAGTGGGGACAGTCAATGCTGATCCAAACGAGCAGCTTCCGACGCGTCGAGCACACGCACTCGGCTCCTCAATCATGTTGATACCCAAAAAAAAAAAAAAAAAAAAAAAAAAAAAAGAAAAAGGAAATTCAAAAGTTGGGATTTGGTTCAACCTGAAAACACAGAGTAAATTTGTAATTTCTGATTTTTTATTTTATTTTTTTTAATAAATGGGTATGTTAGTTTCATTTATTAAGTTCAATTAATGATATATATTTTTTTTTTTTAAAAAAAATATTTTAAATACGTGCTACTTCGAATATAACATTAACGAGTTAAGATCACATCAACCTTAAAATTACTAAAAACTATAAACTCAAAACAGGTTTTAAAGCAAGTCGCGTTAATTCAAACGGCAATGAGAGTGAAAATTTATGTGATTGGTAAAGAGGCTGAAAATATCTAATAAGAGATGATAACATCACCTCACCCCCACCGCCACCCAAAAGTTAGGGGACCCCCCTCCCCCTTCCCCCAAATAAACAGTGGCACCAACAGGACCATCCATCAATTCAAATCCAAGCTCCCCCCACTAACTCATTTACTCCAAAATTTCCCAACTGACATTGAGTGAGATTCTCATAAATTGACCCTTTTCTTTTTTTTTTAAATAAAATATCATCCACTATATATATAGATTTTCATAATCTATTGTTTCTTTCTATTAGATTTTGCAACAAGTATTAAATTAAACGTTATATCTTCTGTATAAATCATATACAATTAGAGGATGACATAGATTCTCTTTAAAATTAACGTACGTGATTGTGTTCCTCTAAAATATAATCATAATTTTTAAACAACAAGTTATAAAATTTAGTGTCGACAGAACCTAAGAATTTATATACATATTTTTTTTGTTTTATGAATAATCAAAATTTCATATAACACGAGAAACTATTTTTCATAGGGAATTGATTATTACACAAAACCAGGCCAAAAAGAAAACCCAAATCGTAAAAAAGTTGGAAAATAGAAATTTCATTTTGGGTATTGGGTAAATTGCAGATTCATTGAAAGCTATCTGTATATACATAAATTATGTATGTATGTATGCATGTACATACGTATAATGAATCTTATATCTGTTTGTTGCATATGGGTCAATGTTGACTTTCGTCGGAGGAACGTGCAGCTGTGGGGTGGGGATCGTCATCTCATTACTGTAATGCCACAAAGAATGTTGGAAAAAAACTATGTTGGTTTTCACGTATATAATAATATAAAATACAAGTTTTTATAATAATTTTTTTTTTTTTTTTAAAAAAAAAAGTATAAATAATTTAAACAACAATTTATTTTGATTGGGTCGGAGCAAACATATTTGTATATATATATGTGTGCGTGTGTGTGTAAAATAATGAGAATAAGTTATTGGGATTATAAAATTAAATTAATTAGCCATGCAGGGATTAGGAAACAACAGAATTAAACATTTGTTTTTATTTATTTATTTATTTTGTTGAAAAGACCTTTACAAATTATTAGAGTGTTAAAAAAGTATTATTTTTGATTCCTTGGACCACTTTTTGGTGAATAATAAAAATTAAAAAATAAAAAACGAACTTGTTACTGCTTTTTGTTTGAATGTTCAAAAGGAGACAAAGTAACTTGAAAATTTAGAGGAGAATGAAAAAGATTCGAAATATTAAATTTCTTTACAGATTTGAATCTTCACAGTCGACAAACCTTCCAAGACGAGAGAGGGAGACGGTAATGAATGCATAAATAAATAAATAAAAAGTACATAGTTGCAGCGATGTAGACTTCACCTGAACCGATCCCCGACACACGTCACCACCAGCCAGCCAGCCATCCATTTTTTTTTTTTATTTTCTTCTAATTTCTTTTAACAGCTTACTTAATACATAAATTATTACAATTTTTATACACAAATTCAACAATTCTTCTTCAAACAAGGAAAAATTATCAAGTCGAGAAGCAGAAAACCAACCTCAAAAATCGAACACCACCTTAACTGCTTTCTTCTTCCATATTAAACGCTCTCAATTCTTCAAACTTCAAATTGAAAATCAGACAGGTCAGGCGAACATGGCTCGTGCCAACCAAGCATGAAAAAGCTGAATTCGCCCACTAAAAATGGTGCACGCCGGTCCCTAAAGGAATTACCTGTCTAATTTAAAAGAGTGCTGTGTCCGAAAATGTCCAGACAATCAATAGTCTCGTGCCCATACTTGCCCGAAAAATAAAGGAGCCTAATGGTTTCATACTGCTTGACAGCTTGCTATAGAGATAATCTTCAACAAATAACAAGCTACAAGTCTAAAAGCGGTCAATTCTTTTCCCACTTCCGCAGAAGGAAATTTCCTTCCGGTAGGGTCTCCTTCGACAAAAGTTACGTGATTGGATTATCATACAGCTCATTGATATTATAACATTGCCTGAAATTCTGATATCGGTATCTGAGTGCGGGTCAGATAATTGAATAAGAATTGAATTAAACAGAAGACCCATGATATTTCTTCCATCCATCCAAGTAGTAAATCTGCAGAAACCTCAATGATTTCAGCTGGTTCAACTCATCCAACCTAGTTGACAGCACTCGGAGCCAACACAGTTATTTTCATTAAGGATGAAATCAGAAACGATATGAGATGGTAAAAACTGGCTGCGACACTAGTGAGATAAGTAAGTAAAATTGTGACCCTATCCCGGTATACAATGCAATCATCACAACTGCATGATGTTTTCAATTTAAGACATCATGCAGTTATGATGATTGAACTGTGTATGGTCTTGAGTTGCCATTTACTTCCCCGTCTCGGTACTGTCACAATCTGTTTTTACGATCACAACTGCATGATGTCAAACCTAAAAATTGAAGGCTAATACATAAGCTTTGTCTTCGTAATCAAAATTGGCTTAGGATGGCAAAACTACTTTTTGCACTTAAATTACAAGGTAAGAAAAATTAACAGGAATGCAGAGTTTTTTTGCCAGAAGTTAGAAAGTTCTACAGAAATTTGAGCACAAAGATCATTTGTCCAGCTCCATGGCCTGGGCAACTTTAGCTTTCGTCACTGCCGTCAACTTGGTCTTCACTTTCCTCTTGCCTACTTGAAACCCACCAGCACCTTTCTTTTTCTTCCCACTACCATCAACCTAAACACATAGCACATCCCTAGTAAGATCAACACACCACATTGGAAGTATTTACAAAACATGCACAAAAACAAAATAACCCGTTACACTAGAAAAAAAAATAATCAAATATGCAACCTATTACCTAATAACTTATAAAGTTGAACCTATCCAATGAAACAAAGAGCATTTTTTGTAACGAAAAGATTACGAGAATTCAGTTCACTTGTAATAAATGAAGTAATGAATTCCTCTAACAATGAATTCTCACATCCGAAAAATGATTCATAATCTTCCAAATTGTTTTAAACCTCTAAATTTTTTAGATATAAAATTGAAATACACTCAATGTTTTAATCAATTCCACTCTTATCTTAAATTATTTTGAGCTAAATTTCTAAATTGTATAACAAAAGGAATTTGCTTCATTCATGAGCAAACATTTTGTAGATCACACATTTGACATTGCATCTTCCTTACATAGCATGAACAGGAACCTTCTGGAACCTTTATGCTTATTAATCATAACACTGGATAAAAATGTTTTACAGGAGTAACTGTTAATACAGATAACAAAATATATTTTTAGCTATTTTTTGTAAATTCACTACACTCGGGAGATAGATAAATATAGAGTTAACAGCATGCAATAAGTTATATAACTTATTCTCAACCAATGACTCTAGCATTATGAAATCAATACTCTACCCATTAAGAAGGTGAATATGACCAAGAACACGAGCACAAAATTCAGGAAAAATTAACAAGAAACCAAGTGTAGAAATCTATGATTGCAAACATCAGCTGAAATTTTTATCATTATTTAATATCAATCATAATAGTCTGCCTATACAATGATATTAGTAATCTGCATATAGACTAGCACTCAAATTCTCTACGGTTTCTAGATACCCTATCATGTCAAGAATATTAACTCCGATGAAAATGAATAGGATCATGTTAGTAAATAAGAAACAATAAATCTTTGCTAACAGTAAGCTGATTCTTAATAGTTCCTAAAAAATAAGCTAAACACCTCCATATCAGATAAAAGATTTACAATTACATGCAAATCTTTTGATATTGAAAAATTTGCAATTTACAACTTACAATTCTACATCAGTAGGACTTTTATCATGTTAAAGACCAACAAAAGCATGCGGCACATATTACATCTCATGGATTATAGATTCAATATTACTTATAACTAATACCAACAAAATAGACTAAAGAAATATGATGTTGAATCACAAAGTATCCAACTACACTCACAGAATTAAAGATAGTAACAGAATTGATTAAAATAAGAAAATTATGATCTAGTTTTACATATCATGATATTTTACTGATTTAGAATATAAAAATTAAAAACATTTCTAAACTTCATTATCAAAATTTAGAATGCACTAACTCGATTGTATATGTTATTCCATTGTCTTGAATAATTCTAGATTAAAAAAACAAGATTGAGCTCGCAAATGAATTTCATAATTTCATGGAATTAACTTGTTCAAAACAGCGTAAAAACAAGATGATAAATAAGCTTAGCCGAGCTTTGCAAATTATGCATGCAAAATCATACAAGCTCCAATATCTTCTGGTCTTCAGTGTTCTCACCAAGCCCACGTATGAGCTTGAGTTATTTCATTTTTCACAGGCGAAAAATACGGACAAGGAAGGAATGGTAATCAGCGAATACAGGGAGCTTTCAGAAGAAGAAGAAACTTACTTTCATCTTATTCTTCTTAGCTTCAAGCTTCTTGACCTTCTTTTCTTTCTCTTCTTTCTCTCCTATTAACAAATCGAATATATAACAATAATCTTAGACCAATAAACTACCAAGGATCTCATGAACGCGATCAATCGCAATATATAGAAAGAGAGAGTATCGTACTTCGTAGATCAAATTCGTACTGTCTCTTTCTACGAGCTAAGCTGTTCTTCTTGGACATAACTCTTTTGGTTCGATGGCCTAAAATCGACTCTTGTTTACCCCTGTAAAACAGAGTTTTCTCCTCTGGCTATGGAGAGCTGTGGCACCGCTTGAACCGTTAAAAACCCTAACCCTAACGATAATAGAAGCGACCAGATTGTTAATACAGCGTCGTTTATACCACGGTTTGTTGATAGAAAAAGGTCAGCCCAGAAAGAGCCCATCAAGCATGAGGCCCAATATCACCGCCGTAAAAAGCGCGCAAAGCGTGATCATTAGCTAAACAAAACGACATCGTTTAAAGAGGAAAAAAGTCGGAATTCAAAATGATTACGGCAGGAAGAAGAGTTAATAATGAAAGAAAGAAACATCTTCCTCATCTTCATCCCTGTGTCGTGGTCGACAGTTTACTTTTTGGCCGTTGGGACTTTTCCACTCTATCTCTCTGTTGTGTTCTCTGTATAAAGACTACTTCCAGTTCCATCCATATCCATCCAAAATCACCAGCGGTGCTAATTATTTTCGCTTTTAGTTTAATTTAAAAAAAAAAAAATCAAAACTTTATTTATTTATATATTTTTTTAAAAATTTCTGCTTCATTATTATGCCAACCAAATTGTTCAATAAAATACTCGTTTAAAATAGTAACCAGATACTATGAAGGGGGTGCTTTGATTAAAAACTCTTGGACATGTCGGTAATTATTGGACTTTTCTTTTCTTTTCTCACCAAAAAAGAAACTAACTAAATACATGTAGTATCCTGGGCTGATCTGATTGTTCTGGTCAGTCAGTATTTTCTCATACTTGACATACTTTCGTGTTCGTTTCAGAAGATTCTAACTACCCTTTTCTTGTAAGTTTTTAGTAATCACGTTTGGAGGAAAAAAGAAATATTTTTAGTTTTTACTGTGTATATTTATATTCGTGGAGTTGAGAAAGTGAAGATATGGTTGTTTGGGATCTATAAACTTCGATTTGATTGTCTGAGGCGAGAATGTGGATCTTGTAGAGGTCGGTTTGATCGAGACGAGGGTATATATATTTGATTGGCTCAAGGCATAAAAAATTTAAGTGGAAAGCTGAGACCTCGATTAGGGCTTTTTTTTTTTTTGGAGTTGCTCCACTTTCTGTGAAAAAGGAGGTGAGTTTAGCTCTGATCTTGCTGGGTTTTTGGTTTTGGAATCTGGGTTTGGGTGTGTTCTTCTGGGTTTGGCATCAGTGAGACCAGAGTTGACTGGGTAAAAGGGAAGCTCACTTTATAAGGTATATTTATCTTTCTGCGGAAATCTAGTAGACTCTTTTTTACTTACTCTTACTTTGCTTTCCTTCTTTTCTTTCTTTCCTTCTTTTCCAGTCTAGTTGCAGTTGATGGTTAGAATGGAGTTGTGATTTAGGAAAGAAAATATGCTAATAGAGGTGACGTGGAATATTTGGAAGCATTTTATTTCTGATTTGTATTTTGGTTTTATCGTTAATGAAGGATTTCCGTTTGATCTGATGGAAGATTTTAATTTGATGTCTTAGTTTAATATAACTGTCTTACATCTTTCTAAGCTTTATAATTTTTAGAAACTTTTGCTTAATAAAAGAGGATTCATGAATTTTTGAGCTTAACCATCACACTGAGACAGAATAAGACCTAACATTAAGGGATGCGGGTGTTGCAATATCTGCTTAGTATTTGAAAAGCTGAATGAATTCATGCAATTAATATTGTTTCGTCGCGGATAGGTCCTCAGTGTTTAAGTTTTAAGTACGATGGGGTGCAGCTGCTCTAGGATCACGTCTTGTTGCTGGAATTCACAGTTCAAGGCTGCTGTGCTTGAAGCTCCTGATGTTGGTGGGTAGAATTGGCTGGAGTGCACTTATTTTTTTTTTTTTACCAGAATGAGGAGAATGTCACCAATGATGTTTATTTATTTGAGTCCTTGTTATCTGTGTTGCAGAGAATGACGAGAACAGTGAGGTCAGCGATGTCCCTGCATTCCGTGAGTACACACTAGAGCAGCTTAAAAATGCAACATCTGGTTTTGCAGTGGAGAATATTGTGTCTGAGCATGGAGAAAAGGCTCCAAATGTTGTCTATAAAGGAAAGCTGGAGAATCAAAGGAGGATTGCTATTAAGCGCTTTAACAGAATGGCATGGCCTGATGCGCGCCAATTTCTGGTAGACAGCCATTATCACTATACCAATTTTACATCCTTCAAGCTTACAGATTTCTCTCTCTCTCTCTCTCTCTCTCTCTCCTTCCTCATCCATCTTTAATTTTGTAGTTGATATTAACAGTATAAATGCAAAAATAGATTCTAGTATTTCATTATTGAACTCCTCAAATACTATCATCTTGTGCATCTACTAGGAAGAAGCAAGAGCAGTTGGTCAACTACGCAATAATAGATTAGCAAATCTCCTTGGTTGTTGCTGTGAAGGTGATGAGAGGTTACTTGTAGCAGAATATATGCCCAATGAGACTCTTGCTAAACATCTTTTCCATTGTAAGGCTCATCCCTGTGAATGTCTTACGTTAACTATTTTTGGACATCTGAAACTACGTCCTGTTGTGGGCTCTGGGTGTGTTTCATTATCGTCTTGTTAACTTGATATTAGGCCTTAACTTGAGAAAAACATACCGAGAGCATTTTCATTTGGAAACGGTTTAATCTATAAACACATCAGCTTCTTACATTTTTTCCCCATTTTTATTGTATTGTATACCTTTCTCATGTACATTTGAATTCGTAGGAATTATTTAATGTGCCATGATAATCCATGTTGACAAGACTCACGTTGAGTAATTGTCTGTGATCTACTCTGGGCCTGGTTGCAGGACTGAAATTATTGGCTCCTGATAATTTCCAGCTATCTGTGGTTCCTTCTAAGGCCACAATATGGAAATTGTGTTTTATAGCTTCACTTATAATTTCTTCATGGTCTAAACTTTAAGTGCCTTTTTAGCTCTACTAATTAGTAGTTCAACTTACTGTACTGTGGAAATTCTTCAAATTTAACCAGGGGAGACACAGCCTATGAAATGGGCAATGCGATTGAGGGTTGTCTTACATCTTGCACAAGCTCTAGAGTACTGCACAAGCAAAGGGCGTGCCCTTTATCACGACCTTAATGCTTACAGAGTCTTATTTGATGAGGTAGATAATTTGCCAGTTGTCCCTGACATTATTTGTTAGAGTCTATGGTTTTTCTTTATTTATTTTATTAGGCTTTTCCAGGATGGCAATCCAAGACTCTCAACATTTGGCCTGATGAAGAACAGTAGGGATGGAAAAAGTTATAGTACGAATCTGGCATTTACTCCTCCAGAGTATTTAAGAACTGGTACATATTTCCCTTCCCATAACAATATATGCTCACTTTAGCTGATAACATTTTCTCTATATGTTATGTATTTTGACCCTAGTGGTGATTTTCCTTCTTGCAATTGTATATTTTTTTTCTCTTTTCAAGTTTAAAGGCCCATTAATGTAGCCTCCCAAAGTTAATTTGATTTCAGAAAAAAAACTGTTAGTTGCCAGACTTAAACATGATTTATTGGGATATGAGTGGGCTTATTTCATCTTAGTATCCATAGCTCATCTGTGAAAAGGATTGCATGTGGGCAATATTGAAACCATTGTTTCCAGTGGCATCAGTCTCTGGCCCTTTTTGTAACTTTTGTTGTTGTTGGAACTTTCTGGTATGGTTTAGCAACTACAACTATTCTCTTGCTGTTTATCAATGGGATTAGGGATTTTTTGTTGATTTTCTTTGTACCCTTGCATGTTTTTCAATATGAAAACTATATTAGAAGAAATGATAGAATGAAATATATTTTGTGGGTTTCGATTGCAGCAGCATTAACTGTGAAAATTGTGATATATCATTTTAATTTTCTGCTAGCCTGCCCTGTGGATACTTGTTTAGTTATGCATGGCATTTGTGGTTGTCTGAAGTTTTTATTCAGTGCAAAACTCTTAATCATTTCATCTATAAAGTATACTTTTCATCTTTTGATCTGCTTACTCTGCCTGCTGCATTACAATAATTTTCATAACTGTTTGTTAACAGATATGATGCATTTGAGACTTGTATGCAATGTTCAATTATCTTTTCTCTTTGTGTTAGTGTTTGCATGATATAAATCTTCATCAAGATTGAGTTTTCAGAATCATTACTACTGGGAAGTTCATCAAAGTAATAAGTCTTCTGTTTGTTCTACAGGGAGAGTAACTCCAGAAAGTGTTATATATAGCTTTGGCACTCTTCTGCTCGATCTTCTCAGTGGAAAGCATATTCCCCCCAGCCACGTAAGAATGCATTTTTGAGGAAGAGACTACTGTTGTATTAGATCTTGTTATCTGATCCTACCACTACCTGGGATAAATATCCTTGCCGTGATCTACAACATGCATATGTTTCACATTTCTTTTGGGGATTATGTAAATAAGTTTTCTATGGATTGATTTAATACTTACATGATTTTTACCAGGCCCTTGACCTCATAAGGGACAGAAATCTCCAGATGCTAACTGATTCCTGCTTGGAAGGGCAATTTTCTGATGATGATGGCACTGAGTTGGTACGGTTGGCTTCTCGATGTCTGCAATATGAACCTCGAGAGCGTCCAAATCCAAAGTCATTGGTGGCTGCTTTGACACCTCTTCAAAAGGAAACTGAGGCAAGAGTCTTTTATGCTTTTCTAAGTAGTAAGAAGATATTGAACCGTCACTTTCACTTGGCTTGATAACTTTCATCAGAATGCTTCCAGACTCTGTTATTCCATTAGCTAGTTTTGATTCCTAGAATTTTGGTTATTTCCATAAGGGAATTCCATATAAACAATCAACAATTTCCTTGCTGGTGCTTATGAAAATCCCAAGTATTTGATGGTTTGGATTTTGAGTTAATTGACCTGTATGTTCATAATGCATGGACCATTTGGAGTAACATTTTGCAGCATTCTCTTTCATGCCATGTGCTCATCCATATTCGTTTCCTCATGCTCAAGTTCCAGTATTTGTTGTTTATGACTTCATTTTAATGTAGGTTCCTTCGCATTTGTTGATGGGTATTCCTCATATTGATTCATTCTCGCCTCTGTCCCCCCTCGGTGAGGCTTGCTCTAGAAGGGACTTAACTGCAATACATGAGATCTTAGAGAATATTGGCTACAAAGATGATGGAGTGACAAACGAGGTGCGTTAATAGATAACTTCTTAAGGTCATGGCCTGTATGCAATGTGTTTTTTAAGTAGTTCCTTTGGACAAGTGAGTATATTCACATTGAATGTAGGTCTGAAAATTTACTGGTTCTTTGTAATGTTTTTTCCCCATAATTGTGTTCCCCAAGTATTGTTGTTTCTAAGACATTTTTCCCTGCTTATGGTTTATTGCAGCTTTCCTTCCAAATGTGGACTGACCAAATGCAAGAAACATTGAACTCAAAGAAAAAGGGTGATGCTGCTTTCCGGCAAAAAGACTTCAGCGAAGCAATTGAGTGTTACAGTCAGGTTAAGTTCTTCACTTAACATGTTCAATAGATTTTAAAGAGCTTAAGGGGCATAGGTTCTGAGCTGATACTTCCAATTCATTGTTAACAATTCATGTTTGCTAGTACAAAGCAACTGCCCATTTACTATCCTGTCAAACTTAAATATGATTGCCTAAGTCTTGATTTAAAAGATTACTCACGGATCTGACACCTGAATATTTCAAAATATCATTGTCCTGATTCAGGTTTTGTTTAGGATAGGTTCAAATTTGAAAATTGACAGACAAGACTGGTAGTTTATTGTTCTCAACTCTTTTACAAGTTTTGAATAACTCAAAGTTAGATTGTGATAAACATGCTTTATTGTTAATGTTTCCCTTAGGTCCTCCTTTAAATGGTTTTTCAATGTTATAACTTGAATGCACAATGCTAACAGTTCCTTGTTTAACCGACAGTTCATTGATGTTGGAACCATGGTTTCTCCAACTGTATTTGCACGGCGTAGTTTGTGTTATCTCATGAGCGACATGCCTCAGGAAGCGCTAAATGATGCAATGCAAGCCCAAGTCATTTCTCCCGTGTGGCACATTGCTTCTTATCTCCAGTCTGCCGCCCTCACTGCATTGGGAATGGAGACTGAAGCTCAAATGGCACTTAAGGAGGCTTCAACTCTTGAAGCTAAGAGAAGTGCAAGTTCTGGGCAGAAGTAAAAGACAATGTGGGGATTCGTGAAGTCTTATTTTACGTCCAATCCGAGCTGTCCCTTTTATGAAAGATGGCAGCATGGCACTAATATGATTGTTAAATTTTCAATCAGCCAATGGACGGAGAATCTACATTCAACATCAATACGTGACAATACAAAGAAATTGCTTTCTTCAGTGAAAACTGACTTGTGTCATATGAGGAGTTTGGGATTTTCTAGCCCGTGTTTTTTCTATAGGCATGTGAGGAGTTCTTTCGTTCCTGGTGTGGTTTGATCAGTTGTGCACCAAAAAACTTACTCCCAGATTCATTGAAAGTGGAAGAAACCATTTCTTTTCTTAATTCCCCCAAACCCGCCAAAAGATAAAAGAGGGTGGTATTGGAGGTGAAAATTGTTCTTAAGCGAGCTATTTCTGTATAGATTCTGTGAGCTATGGTGTCTTACTGCTCCTTGTTTTGTTGGTTTTGGACATTGAGTTCTCAACATAGGAATTCTATACCCCTGAAACCCTTTCCGCCGTTGTTGTTTCAATTTCTAAAGCTTGATGATGGTACTGTCATCTGAAAGTGAGAAAATTGAAAGTCCAAATGCTCTCTTCCTAGAAAATAGAACTTCAGACTTCATTAACTAAAACTAATACCCTGGACTTAACCTGGCTCCAGTTCCCTGGTGTATTTCTGGTCTGTTCTTAAGGTAGCATAAATAAGATGAAGATCTAAATAAAAATAATATTTTAGCCTTCATTAAATTTTATATTTAACTTAAATTGTATGTGTTCGTAATTCTCTATTTGACCAGTAGAAAATTAAATTATCATCTTAAAGATGTAAAAAAATTGATCTAATAATAAAAATTTATAAAATAAACACAGTAACTTTTTTTGGGTTATAATTAGAGAGGCGAAAATTTAGAATTTCAGCAGCAAAGCTAGAAAACTTATTACAATGGATCATGTTTGGATAGAAAGTATATATAAAATCAATCACTCACTCCCATGCAGCCTAATGTAAACTTTTCTCTATTTATCAGAGTTGCTGAATTGACCTAAGTAAAAAAAATATGTATAAAGGTTTAGCTCCAGAACAAGGAAAATTTATCACTAAACAGATAATTTAGAAACCTAAGAAAATATATTTACTGAGTGCATCCAGAAGCCGGCCTTAGGTGAAGATGGTATATGTACATGTCTAAATGATAGAGCTCTGTTATAATGTGCGGTTAAAATGACAGAAGATCCAGTAACTCAGAGCTCTATAGAATTCAACTGGTATATTGGTGATCTACTCTACACACCCAAGTGAAAATTTACAATGGAAAGGCCAAGCCGACCTAAGCTAAGAGTTAGGGTAACCATTAGGTGAATGCTCACTTGAGTGGTGAATTCTTTTCCCAATAAGCTGTTTTCTTATGGATTCCTTTGTTGTGATTGCTTCTTGAATGTTATTGCGGACAAGACTGCAAAGCTCCTCCAAGGCTAACATCGGAAATGGTTCCTCAATGAGAACACCAACCTGCATAAATTGACCATCAAATCATCATCCATGTTTACTTCCTAAACTAAGAAATAAGTTTAGAAGTACACATCACAGCTAATGGTTCAGGAATCTGGCAGCCCACTGTTATCTTGCTGGCTGTTAAGAATATTTCTCACTTAACTATAATAAATCAGGAATGAGCATAATCCTTGATAGAGCAGGAAGTGATCCTAGAAAGCATTCCCACTCTGGAACAAAATCTCAATATCATATTTGTTCAGAAGAACAAAAATTGCATTTTTGTTGTGATCTTACAGAATGACAATTTACTTAAATACAGTCGTTTTCACCAGAAAAAAGCTGAAGGATCGGCGAGTTAGATTTGACTACAATTACTTAAAATGCATTCAGATAAGTCCTTAATGAATCCAATTTACCACCAAGGGAAGAGAGAATGCATACTTATAAATGTGAATAATGTACTAATAAAGTTGGTTCTTTAAAAAAAAGTGATAGCAAAGTTGGTGTTCCAAAAGAAAATATACGAACAAAAGGGTAAATTGGTGTTGTCACCAGGTCCTTCCCATCATTTTGTTTCAAAAATTTTAACAAATGGTGTTCAAAGTCGAACGTTGAAGTCTGTTCGAGCAGTATCTTTTTCATTATTTACTTCTTATATCAAATGGAGAACACTACCATGATATGTTTCTCAAGGCCATAACAGCTTATTTGGTTCAATTCCTATTCTACGCCCACATGAATTAGCTCTATTTATACTTTAAATTCTTTGAAAAGCAGAATTTCTAATTTCTACTTCAAAAAAGAAATTGAAAACTCCACCCTAACAGAGAAGCAAGTGAAAAGAAGACTACTCCGACCATATGTGTTGCGTACACTTGCCTATGCGAGAAAAGAAAACTAAGAAAATCCAGAACTGATTTGGTAGCACAAAGAATTGTACATACCTCTTCAATGCAGAACAGTGAAGCAGCACTAATAAAAGTAGCAGGAACCACTATCCAGTGACAATCATCCCAAAGTATGATTGGGAGAGTTAGATGCCAGAGGACCAAAAATCTGGATGTTAAACGAGTGTATGATAGAGGAATTGGGGTACCCATAAGTTGTTCACACACACCAATTCCTTCATGCAAACATAAAAGCTTCGATTCCTGCAGTAAGACCACAAAATTAATGGTTATTTCTCGAAGCTGACATGTATTTGGAACTTAAAGAACCTATCCTCAATTTTTTATTAAAAACCCTTCCTCCTCCAATAGTCCAGAACAAAAAGTTTTACTACCCTTCAGAAATCAAACATAAATTACAAAATATTTATAAAACAGTTAAAAATTCTTAAGATGAAAGCAGTCAAGAATTGATGGGTATATGTATGTAAGTCACAAACTGTAAGAACAAAAATATGTAAGTTTATACTGCTTTACCTTTGGCATGTCAATAAATATGAAAATGCTTTCCTTCTAAGTTACATAACAAATCGAAAACATGGCATACAACACCCAGGGTATTGCTTTCAGAAACCTTGACTGATAGAGTAGAATTCGGGAGTATTTATAATCGAAGGAAGATACCAACATATTTCTCCTTGACTCGTCCAAATTTAGCAAGTGAAGGCTCTGAGAAATAAACTCGATAATGCAGCGTGGACGATGTTTTGAATTGACCACTACTGCTAGATCATCTGCTTCGAGCAGAGTTTCAAGATCTCTGCCAATATCTGAGCCATAAATCAAATGACACTGCATGTAAAATTTTACCACCGAATTGTCATCATCTATGCTTAAATCATAGCCGACAAATTTCAAGGGACAAAAGTAGCAACAATCTCAGACACTTCTTTTGCAAAGCAACATTGTAAATACTCTTACTGAAGTTTCCTTCCCAAGCTATCGAACATGAAGAAAAACAAAATCCATAAAAAATTTAACAGTTGTTTACCAAACTCTGGTATATTCCAAATGCTCTTACTATGAACCATAATTCCTTCCCTATAAAATTTTTCACAAGCATAAGTAGCTGCCTTACTGAATCAGCCTGAATATCCAGTTTCCAAACACATATCTCATCCCGTTCTCCCAGTTAGTACTACCACAAGCATAAATCCAACCCAAGTTAAGACAACTAAAAACAAAATAAATTACCTATGATGAACAAAGAAACTACCTTTAATGCGGTAGGAAAAGCCATAATATACCCCAAAAGTGCATCCTTGATTAACTCATCACCAGAAATGTCAACCCCAGCAATTACTTGCCGGGCAAAATCATTGGTCCCAGCAATCACCTTGGTCCAGGCCATCCTCCCTTCCTCAAACCTCGAATATGATGCCTCCGTGCGGAACACCAGAAGCAGCGCCAATGCCGGCGCCGTCAATTGATAAGGCAATGAAGACGCCCTCAAAACAGGGAAAAATCCCGGCAACCAGTGCATATCAACAGCAGAGTTATAGCTCGCAATTATAGCCGCCACCGAAGTAAATGAAATCACAGGAGGTATCAATGATAATATCACGCGAGAGGACAAACTGGAAAGCAAATGGCGCACGTGTCGCAAAGAGCTTCTGTGTTCAACCCATTTCTCGTGGTTGTAAAGAGAGCGGTCTCGTTGCATTCCACGCTCTTTTATGCAGTCAGCCCAATCGGAGATGGCGCGAAGAAGAGAGATTACGGAAAAGGTTTTTGGAGGGAAAATGCTCTGGTTAGAGTCTGGCGAAGAGGAGCAGAGGATTTTGAAGGGGAGGAGCGTGGAGACTGGGAAGGGAGGAAAGGTGAGGCGCGAGTGAAATTTGAGGAGAGGTTTTGGGGAAAAGTTGGAAGAGAGGGAGAGTTTGGAGGGGAGTGTGAGTTGGGACATTTTTGGTGGGAGGGGGAGTTAGGGTTAGGGTTTGTCGAAGGAGGGAAGAAGATGAAGAGAACATGTCAAAAGCATGGTATAGAGACTGAGAGAGTGGTAAGTGAGTGTCAGAGAGCAGTTGGATTGGTAAAGTTCGTTGGAAACGGTTGTTTGTGATCCAAAATTTTACACTTGTTTATATTTTGACGCATAAAAAAGTATTGGCTAATGCTAGCTAGAGTAACAGCCTCTTTCCATTCTTTTATGTGACAGACCAATCGAGAGGTACTGTGAGGAACCAGCAAAACATTCCTTTTTTAAAAAAAAAAAAAAAAACATTTTGATACCTAGTACAAGCATTTCTAAAACAACATTTTTCTTTTTATTAAAAATTATATATCTCAATAATAAAATTGCACTTTTCATACCAACGGTAACATAAGTAAATTACAGTTAATAGCTTTGAGCAAAGGGAGATCTATTTTCCATTAATGATGGAAGTCACCGTTAAGAATTTGGAAAGCTGGGTGACAAAAAAAAAAAAACAAACAAACAAAAGAAATAGTATCTGAAACTTGTTTTACATATTACAAGTTTGATATCTTCCATTAAGCATGAGAAACTTTCCTTCCTAACCCTAGTGATTTCCCTTGGTACCATTGGACTTCAGCTTCTCCACTGAGTTTTCTTCCACCTCCTTCGATCCAAAGATGAACTCCTTAAAGGAACTTTCTGCTGACAGTATTGCCTTTTTAATCTGCCATTGCAATTAAATTTCAATCCTCAGCCAGGCAATGGTAAAATCATGTTAAAAACCCAATATAACTACAACTCCAATAATCTCAACAATAAGTGTAGTTCACAATGTTAACGTCCTTCCCCTCTGCAAAATCATTTCATAATTAATGATACTTGAGATCAGTAAATGAAAAAAACTTGTGTTGCTCATCAAGGGGAAAAGCACAATAGATGGTGGGGAGCAATATGCAACAAATACCAAACCAAATACAAAACCTGGAAATTATCAATGATAGAAACCATCAACTCATTAATCTGAATAGGGAAAAACAAAAATCTACAGCCAGAAAAATCTCATCCTAGTGATAGCAACGTGGTGCTGATCTGCTGGATGCTTTGTAAAACTTGAAATAGTCAAGAGTTATTGCTAGGCATTCTATCTTGTTTCTTTCGAGAGAGTAGTAATATCCCATCATAAGTTCTGTAAGCAGAAAGGGCAAATCTAATGTAATAAGAAATTACAGTCGCAGGAGCTGGAATTTCTCTCAACTAGTTCACAACCACATTTATCATACTCTACCCTACAGAAGCCCAGGTACAATCAGACAGGATCGGCTGCCTACTACATCTGTTTTTCTCTATTTTTCTCTCCTAATCTCCAACACCACAAACTGAAAGCACAAACCAACAACTAATCAAAATACAAATAAAAGCAATCCCACAGCGAATTAAACCTATGTACTAATTACACCGATTAATTTATAACAAAATATGTATATACACACGCACTATTAAGATATTTAATTATTCTAAAAATTAAGATATTCGTTGTCTCATAACATTATTCTCTTCGTGAAGATTACACTTGTCCTCAAGTGCAAGCGCTTGATGGCAAGGCAGATGTTCTCATTGGACCTCCAATATTCCCTCACCAGAAGCCTCCATCGGTAATGGATCTTCCACTTCAAGCTAGAAAAGGAACTTGTAACAGTGGCCAGGCTCAAGTTTTTAATCACAATTGAAGCACAAACTCTTAATGCGTCTTCTCTCCAGTTCTGAAGCAAAAAGCTGTTTCACTCTGGAAGGTTGGAATAGAAAAGGAAAATTGAAACTAAGCTGTTCAGTGAACATAAAGCCCTGACTAGTGTCAGTCTGGCATGGGGAGAAAAAATCATGGCACGCAGGTAAATTTTGTGGGCTGCATGCACTGGCCGGAAGTGCCAGACTCATGGCGGTTGTTAAAACCAGTGGATTCTGCAATTTCACTTCAACAACAATATATTCCTTAAATCCACTCAAAAAGATCTCAACTTCTTGCTCCAATGTGAGTGAATTCGCTTGCTATATTCAGCCACCACACCAACCTGCTCAATTTACTCAACTCTCCCAATTTGACGCTGCAAATTGGTGGACCGAAACACAAGTGACATAAATTTTTGAATCCTGTCCAAGATAAGAACGATCAGTCTCTTTCTAATGTCAGAAAATTGTGCTTCTCCTTATAAAGAAAAGGAGGTCAACGGAACATTCTCTTCCTTGGCTGTTTGTTGATGGCAAAAAAAAGCCTATATCTATCAATCAAAAGAAGAGGATCTGTCAGTCCGTCAAAGCATGGGAAATCCAATTTTATGTAGTATGGAATGAAGTTCCTGTCTTTCTTCCTCTCTGCTACTGCATTACTGCCTCTCCATCCAATAGTTCTGTCTGTATGAACCCCTTTTCCTTGATTGTGCAAATATGGTTGGGCTGAAAACAATCTTTAGATTAAGCAGCCAGATATTACCACTTCAAACGATCATTTTCACAATCTTCCTGGTAAGTTTTTAGAAAAGATTCAACATAGACTGCAAATCTCTCATAACTTCTAGCTCCGATACCAAATTGTTACAGTCCCGATTTACAGATCTTGTTATGAGATGATTAACCCAAAAATAAGTAGGTATCAACTGCTGTTTTTGTGGTTTTCTTCCTCTACCTATTTTAGTCCAAATGTATTGGCTCATTAAGAGAGAACTCAAAGATCTCTTAAAGTTATAAGTAATCAAGAAACTTTGAATAACTTTTCTGCATAAAAACCAAACTCTTATGAAAACAACGGCAGATTCTTAAATCTGCAGATTGAGCAGTTATCGGGAATTTAATTCCCCAACTGCGTACTACATCTGCTTTCCCCTTTTTTCTCTCTTATTAGCCTCCCACACAACAAGCTGAAAAAACAAACCAACAACTAATAAAGTACAAATAGAACACCATCCCACAACGACATAAATCTCTCTACTAACATGATTGATATAGAACTAAAAGAAATACATATATATATATATATATATACCATTAAGATATTTGTAATAATTACCTTAAAAATTAAGACACTTATTATTTCATAACAGAGTGCTTATCCAAGTGGATATGAAGCAAATACAAGTAATGCCCTGGACCTGCAGCTATCATGCTTAATTAAGGACTAGATAGCAAGAGATTGATTGCATATCGAGTTCCCACAATTAATCATACCACCTAGTTCAAATAGTTTCAGTTAATTCTTTCAGTCAAACTCAGCAAGCGACATCTTCTCATGAACACTGTCCAAAATCAGTTAATAAAGTACCAGACACAAACCATATATTTCAAACAAACAGATACCAGAAACCTAGAATTCATTATCCCACTGTATCTTCAAGTTTGGAATTATTTTTTAAATGAACTAAAATTTCATATTAAATTAAATAAAAATATTCCAACTTCTACCAAATTGAGCGCATATGACCAGCAATCTAAAGACAAACCCCCCAAGTTATCTGTTTGGTTGCAAGGAAAGAAAGAAAGAAAGAAAAGGAGAAAATTCCCAACCAGTATTCCAACCGAAAAGCCACTAAGATCGGCGAAATTTGAAAAATAAAAAATAAAAGAAAAAAAAACCCAACAACAGCAGAGGGGGATTAAGGCTTACAGGATCGAGAGCGTTTGGTTCGGGGCCATAGTCAGCGGTTAAAAGGAAATAGGAGGCGGTGACAGTGGCCACCATTGTTGTTCTCCTCACCAGTTTATCTGTTCGCGGATTCATTTCATTTCAATTTCTATTTGATATCAAACTTCACTAATCGAAGAGAAGATGAAGAAGGGGGTTTAATGATCCCTTTTTCCAATTTTTTTTTTTTTTTTTTTGAAGAAAATGAATGAGAACTTCTATATTTAAAATAGTTTCAGTTTTACATTGTTGAAATTTTTAATTACTATGTATGAATATATTTTTTAAAAAACATATTATTTAAAATCTACTAAATTAAAAAAAAAAGATATTATTTTAATTTTATTTAAATTTTTAATAAATAAATTACATATTAACTCAAATATTTAAGTTAATGACTTTTAGAAAGATCTGAGTACAAAAATTTTCTTGACAAGAAGAACATTTTTAGATGGATGACGCTTAGCACCTCAACACCAAACAAAACAATCAAACCTCTTGATTTCAAAGATAAACCCTTGAGTGATAGACTTTTGGTCTAATTAAACATGCTTCTTTTACTACTAATTTGTACTAATTGTTGTGAAAAAAATAAAAAAAAAGTCCATAATAATATAATCATATAATTATATGAAATGAAATTCTTAAAATTCAATTAACTTCTTATAAAAACTCTTATCAATCCAAAAAATAAAATATACTACTATCATATTTTCTCTTACCTTATAATTAAAATCTCATTTGTCGTTTTTTCTTTAGCATTACTAATTTGATTATAAGAAGATCCACATTAGAGACAATCTCAACGTTCTATTGATCTCCTACATGTTTTGCATTATGAGAACCTTAAAATTTCTCTTACAAGTCGATGTGCATAAAAATAAGTATGTAAACTCACTTATAGATTACCAGAAGAGATACTTTGCCTACATAAGCATTTTTTAAGGCATGCATCAATTAATAAATAATCAAAATAATATGTTTTCCGATCATATGACTTTGAGAGATAAACATGATTACCCTTCTAAAGGCTCATTCAACTGCCAAATTGCCCTAAATAAAATAAAAACTGTTATATAATCTTAAAGGAATCATTTAATATATTTTAGAGTATCAAAAACTCCAACAGTGACAAATTCTATACCAAACGAATCACTATAAGTTAAATGATGCTTATAATTTAGTCGATATAAAAAATCTAAATTAATAGACTAGTTTATGGATCAAAAGTTAGAGGGACCAAAATTTTGGTTTGGCATGTTCCTTTACCTAGTTTGGACAATTTTACCCAAAAAAAAATCATGGATTAATATTGGAAAAATTATTATTTGTTTATTAATTTTATTAACTATTTTTTTTTATGAATAAGTATGATTTATGAGTTTATAATTTGTTTTAATTCTATTGATTTATAAAGATAATTAAAAACACTAAATTGATTCAGTGTGATTTTATGTCAAAAACTATAGAGTTAAAAAATTTTGGTCAATTCCAGTCTAGGTTTAAACCGACAAATACTTGTACAACTAAATAATGAAACAAGTACTCAAACTCATGAAAAAAGCCTTGTTCATAAGGTTTTACATACATATCTTTTGTGATACCCTATTTTGAGGATGATTAGTGTTAAGATTATTGGTCTTTCCCTTCCCCTATCCCAAACGAAACATATGCATTAGGTTTATCTATTAATCTCCTAGAAGGATCTATTTCTTTTCTTTTTTTTTTTAAAAAAGGGCTAGTAGTAGAAATTATTATCTCGTAACTCTCTAAAAGACATCTTGTTTGTGTGCACATCTCATTCTCAGCTCTTATTGATCAACCATAACAAATTCTTTATGTAATATCCTTAAATTAATTTTAATATATTTAAAATTAATGTAGAAATATAATTTTTAAATTTTTAAATTTTTATTTAATGTGAAAATGAAGAAAAATAAGTGGGAGATGAAATTGAAAATAATTTTGAAAAAAATGTAAAAATTTGGATTCTGAAAATGTTTTTGAAAGAAAAATTAGAAACTAGGGGTCAAAATGTAATTTAAAAAAATTTGTCACGTAGGACGCCTAGTCAGCAGCCCCGACGAACAGGAGCATGCAGCGTGGCAAGGAACGTTTGTGCGGTGCCACGCGGAAGGGCACACTACCAATTCGTGTGACCGCGATCAGACGGTCCGAATTTATTCCCGCGCGTGTGGACGGTCCGGATCCGTTCTCCACTTTAAACGCGATCGGACGGTCAATATCAAATCGCGATGAACGGTCCAGATTCACTTCATATTTAAACGCGATCGGATGGTTCAGATCAAATCACGATGAATAATCCAGATTCACTTTCTATTTAAACGTAATCGAACAGTTCAGATCAAGCGCGATAGATAGCCCAGATTAAAAAGAAACGGATATAAATAACCTATTCACACCAAACTCTAACCCTTGCCACCAGACCCCCCCGCCGAAGAAGAAGAACTAGTCGCCAGGAAGGGAGCCGACCGTCTCCTGCCATCGTGCCAGAGCGGCCGCACCGGAAATCCCGCCACTAGTAAGCCTATGTTTTTTTATTTTTTTGGCCAACTGATGCCTCTTAACATGTTTTCTCGTAGTGAAGAGTACAAAACCGATCAAAATTGGCTGAAACTGACCGAAAACTGCCAGCCTGAGGTAAACCGCCACCGCGGGTGGCGGTGCCGCCACTGGAGCACAGTGGCACCGCTATGTTGGAATTTCTAAATTGGCCAAAAAGGGTTTCTAACACTGATTTTGGATTTTTGGGATACTTCTAGGTACTTGGAGCGTGTTTTAATCCCCGAAGAAAAATTAAAGGAACCCCGTGACTACCAGTAAGTGCAGTTGAAAGTTTAGTATTTTGACATCAATTCGAGTAAGAATCCATCACCCTATTTCTGGTTATGGAATTGAAGTCTAATTATAAATAATATAGTATTTTACATAATTTAGAAATATCGATAATTAAAGGTTACTAATGGAGCTAGAACCGATTATTTATTACTGTTTACAATGTTTAACTGATTGATGATTTTACAGTCTCGAATGCATGATAATACACTAGAATGGGTATGATAATTCGATTGTATTTGCTTTATGCATGTATTGTTTATTTTATGTAATTTACAGTTAATTAGGAAACTGAAAATTAAAGGTAAACGGAAAATTATTTGATTAAGTGAATGGATGAATGGTAGCCTTACTGGATATCTTGGGAGATGGTGGATGGACCGGATAGATAGGGAACCCTACCATGAATGTTGTCTCATGTCAGATGGGGTATCGAGGATTTGTATTTTAGTGCTCATACCAGACAGGGTATGAGGACGACCCGTTTCACCCTCATATCAGACGGGGTATTGAGGGATGATGTCTTTTGGCGCTCATACCGAATAGGGTATAGGGACGGCTCGTTAGTTGAAAATGTTGAATAAAGGTTCACGCGTAGTAGGGACATCCCTTTGGACCCCCATGGATACCAGTAGGCTGATAAAAGTATAAAGTTATTATTCCGACTGATTGAATATGAAATTATGATATTGATTACGTTATTGCCTCTATAGGTCGATTTTGAAAATCTCACGACGGTGAGTATATGGTAAATGATTTTATTCATGGTAAACGAATTTACTTAAATTAAAAGCTCAATTAGTTATTTTTATGATTTCTACTAATATTCATTTCTGTGTTGGAGAGTAGTGTGACATTCTTACTAGGCTAGTGTAGTTCACTCTTTCATTAACCATTTCAGATCAAGATGACCAAGATCCAGATACTGATCCACAAGAGTGTTGCGAGTAGAACGTTCAGTTTGTTTGTTTTTCATTTATTTATTTGATTATTAGTTGTTCTTTTAAAAGAGTTATTCTCGTAGCTCTATTAGGTATTCAGAATTATTTGTAAGGAATATAAACTCTAACACTATTATTTCGTTTTCGCATTCAAATTTATAATTTATTTCTTTTCAAGTTCCGGGTCATTACAATTGGTATCAGAGCCGTGTTCCTCGAAACCATTCTTTACACAAAAATCCTAGGAAACCCCAAAGAATGAATTATCACTCAACCATTTCTTGTGAAATACAGGTACAAATAGATGAGGAGAGGAAGACCTCTACTAAACCGAGCAGCCCGAGAAGGTTCGCTTCGAGAGATGTTGACCGATTGTTTGAAATGCTAGAGAGACTCATCTTTACTCAGCAGGCCCGAGAGGGAATGAGGGAGCTACCTGACCCTCCCCCGCTGCCACAGGTCGAGCCACCCCTACAGCGGGAGGATCTTGAACCACCCCGGTACGATTATGCTCCTCCACAATACCATTCAGCACCTTCATCGTATGATTCGATGCCCCAGCTACAGTACCACCCACCACCACAGTATAGCCCCGTGCCCCAACCGCATCATCTGACACCACCACAGTATAATCCGGTGCCTCCGCTGTATCATCCAGTACCACCACAGGGCCATCCAGTCTATCCCCAACATAATCTAGTCCTTCTCCCAAGGGACCCAACTCCTCCCATGGTGGACTCATACTATATTGAGAGGTATAAAAGACTAAACTCATCTATTTTTGCAGGGGAATCTTCCTTTGAAGAGGCCGAGTACTGGTTAACTGAGACAGAGAAGACTTTCACGACTCTTTGGATGATTTCCGAACAGAGAGTCATACTTACCACCTACATGCTAGTGGGAGAGGCAGACCGCTGGTGGCAACTCAAGCAGGCCACCCTGCCCGTTCCAGTCACTTAGGAACAGTTCTTGATAGCCTTTAATGTAGAGTACCTCCTAGAGCATCTCCAACATTTGAAAGAAATAGATTTTACACACCTAGTCCATGGTGACATGACTGTATCAGAATATGCCCAAAAGTTCCTAGAGTTAGGCCAGTATTCCCCTGAGAGCATGATGGATGAAGGCAAAAAGGCAAAAAAGTTCGAGTGGGGCCTCCATCCTGAGATCAGATAGCAACTATATGTATTCGAGGTCAGTACTTGCTCAGTTATTTTGGCTAAAGCACAATTGGTGGAGAGGAACCTTCATATTTTTCTTCTAGCAGTAGGGAACCTCAGGCCCCTGGTTTCACACTGCAGACCAACCTGCTCAGCAGAATAAGAGACAAAGGCCAATGACTCAGGCTCCTCTTTAGATTCCAACAACGGAATGCGGCACTACTTCTCAATACTATGGTAAAGATCATGGAGA